GGGACACACCTGGGATACACCTGGGTAAGGGAGATACACCTGGGATACACCTGGGGGGGTGGAGATACATTTGGGACACACCTGGGATATACCTGGGGGGGTGGAGATACACGTGGGACACACCTGGGGTACATCTGGGGGGTGGGGATACACCTAGGGACACACCTGAGTGGGTGCGAACACACCTGGGGTACACCTGGGATACACCTGGGGGGGTGGAGATACACCTGGGACACACCTGGGATATACCTGGGTGGGTGGGGATTTACCTGCGGCACACCTGGGATACACCTGGAGGGGTGGAGATACACCTGGGACACACCTGGGGGACACCTGGGATACACCTGGGGGACACCTAGGGGGCAGAAATGTACCTGGGATATACCTGGGTACACCTGGGGTATACCTGGGGGGGTAGAGATACACCTGGGCACACCTGGGGGACACCTGAGATACACCCGGGACACACCTGGGACACACCTGGGTGGGTGGAGACACAACCTGGGATACACCTGGGGCACACCTGGGCTAGGGAGATACACCTGGGTAAGGGAGATACACTGGGACACACCAGGGGTACACCTGGGATACACCTGGGGGGTGGGGATACACCTGGGACACAACTGGGACACACCTGGGACACACCTGGGGGGTGGAGATACACCTGGGACACACCTGGAGGAGTGGAGATACATCTGGGACACACCTGGGACACACCTGGGCAGGGGGGACACACCTGGAGGGGTGGAGATACACCTGGGATACACCTGGGGCACACCTGGGACATACCTGGGCTAGGGAGATACACCTGGAGTACACCTGGGTAAGGGAGATACACTGGGACACACCTGGGGTACAGCTGGGCTACACGTGGGGGAGTGGAGATACACCTGGGGCACACCTGGGTACACCTGGGATACACCTGGGTGGGTGGGGATACACCTGAGGTACACCTGGGGTACACGTGGGGGGGTGGAGACACACCTGGAGTACACCTAGGGTCTACCTGGGACACACCTGGGGGGGTGGGGACACACCTGGGGACAGACACCTGGGATACCTGGGGGTCTGAGATGGGTGCTGGCAGTGCTGGGTGACCAGGGGAGGGTCCCAGGTGTGCGAGGGTGGTCCCAGGTACCTGTCCCAGGTGTGCAGGGGTGTCCCAGGTGTGTGGGTGGGTCCCAGGTACCTGTCCAGGTGTGCAGGGCTGTCCCAGGTGTGTGGGTGTCCCAGGTATCTGTCCCAGGTGTGTGGGTGGCTCCCATGTCCCCCTGGTCTCACCTGTGCTGTCCCCAGGCCCGCTGCTGGAGGATTGGGACATCATCAGCCCCCGGGAGGTGGCGGCGGCCGAGCCGGTCCCCGAGCGCCGCTCGCTGCTGGCGG